TACGCTCGGTTCGCAACAAACAACTGCACCTCCCAGTCGCGAACCATTTCAACTCCCCCTCCCATTCCTCAGACGACATGTCCATCCTGGGCCTCCTGCAGTGCCACAACGATGCCACCCGAAGGTTGCAGGAACAGCAACTCATATTCCGCTTGGGAACCCTGCAGCCCAATGGTATCAATGTGGATTTCACAAGTTTCAAAATCTCCCCTCCCCCCACCGCATCCCAAAACCAGTCCAACTCGTCCCTGCCTCCCTAACCTGTTCTTCCTCCCACCTATCCCCTCCTCCCACCTCAAGCCGCACCTCCATCTCCTACCGACCAACCTCATCCCGCCCCCTTGACCTGTCCGTCCTCCCTGGACTGACCTATCCCCTTCCTAACTCCCTACCTACACTCACCTTTCCTGGCCCCATCCCCGCCTCTTCGACCTGTTTGTTTCCTCTCCACCTATCCTCTCCTCTATCCCTCTTCTATCCGCCTCCCACTCTCTCCCTATTTATTTCAAAACCCCCTTCCCCTCCCCCTTTTCTGATGAAGGGTCTAGGCCCGAAACGTCAGCCTCTCTGCTCCTATGATGCTGCTTGGCCTGCTGTGTTCATCCAGCCCTGCACCTTGTTGTCTGTTGTGTTAAAATATTTGATGTTTGTAAAATGGTAAGGGGGAAAAATACATGTCCCTTTAAAGATGTTTTTTTCTATAGGCTTGGAGATCAAAAAAAATGTCTGCAGTCAACAGCAGATGTGCAGAGAGTTCTTGAAAATGAAATATTACATCAAAGCTATATTGTTAGCAGGCAAAGTAGCGTTTTTACCAAGTGAACAGGTTTTTGAATTTTTCCAATTAATTTAAACCAGGACCTAGATACCAAAACCCAATTAAATTTAAATCTAATCGTTTTGACTACGTAGGACCAATCCTATTGTAAGAAATTGATAGGCCATCAAGGGTATAAAAGAAAAGGACATTTGAAAATTGGTGTGAGAGAAACTACCATCTTAGAGAGGGAACAACCCATTGGCTCTAAAGAGAATCACTGGCTTTCACAGAATTCTATCAGCTCTCAGAAAACAAAATCATCTCATTAAATGTACAGCAGTACTCTTCGCTAATATTCCTGACATTAGAGTTTGATCGAGAGAGTCATTTCGGACACCAGAATTCAATGGAGAAAGACATTCCTAGCGGAGGATCAGCAGAGAGAGTGCAGAGCAGTCTGGTAAAAGCATCCTGGCTGTAATTTTGAGGAATTAAGTTGTAATCCCTTTTTTATTATTATTTTGGTTTATATAGGTGGAACTTGTATCTATTGGAACAGCATACCATTAGAATTTTGTGTTATTCAGGAATAGTTAGTAGTTAAGGGGGAATTGTTCGGTTTGTTAGTAGTTCTGTTAATTTGTTAACTATTAGAGTTAAATAAATAAATTGTTACTTGTTGATTGTAGATGACTGTCAGGAGTTCATTTTATTTCACCTCTCCTTGATAAGGTATTGGGAGGTGAGAGGCAGGTATACCACTTTTCATATTTCCTTTAACAGATTACAAGGCAAGGTAAGCCCCTCTGGGTGTTTTGATTGTAGTTATCAGAGAGGAGTTGACCTCCTCTCTGTAACAGGGAGTCCTGCTCTGTTTCTACTCATTCACTAACACAATGCTCACAGTATGAAGTAACCTCTTAAATCCCAATCTAATTCTGGTGAATCTGTATTGTATACCCTCCAAAGTCACTACAGCCTTCATGAGATTTGACATGAGTGCAGCAATCTAGACAGGACATGATGAATTTATGCAACTGAACCATTTTTGTCCTTTGTATTCAGCCTCCTTGAAGTAAAGATTACTGTTTATTCACCTTTTGTTTACTGTCTGTACATATCCGATTGCCTTCAGTGTTTAATGTGCATGAATATTCATAACTTTCTTAGAGTCACAGAGTTACACAGGACAGAAACAGACCCTTTGGTCCAACTCATCCATGTCAACCAAATTTCCCAAACTAAACTAGTTCCACTTGCCTGAATTTGACCCATATCCCTCTAAAGCTTTTAAATGTTGGAGCCATACCTGCATCTACCACTTTCTCCAATAGTTCATTTCACACACAAACCACCCTCTGTATGAAAAAGTTGGCCCTCATGTCTTTTTTAAATCTTTCTCCTCTCACCTTAAAAATATGGCCCCTAGTTTTGAACTCACCCACCCTAGGTAAAACCCCTTTTCTTTTCACCTTATCTATCCCCTCATGATTTTATAAACGTCTATAAGGTCACTCCTCAACCTCCGATGCTCCAGTGATAAAAAAAACTTCTCTCTCACAATTACTACTTCTTCACTAATATGGAAATGATGTGACTATTCTTGCTTCAATCAAAAGTTGATGGTTTCACACTTAACGCCAGCAAACCCAATTTTCTCATTTATCAAATCGATCAATGTCTCTCTCTCTCTCTCTCTCATTTCCCAGTCACATCTGTGAAGTTTACTGTCCCTCCCAGCAAATGTCATCTGCAAACTTGGATATGCATTTTTCTATTCCTTCGTCAAGTTATCCGTACGGTGAAAAGTTTGGATTACATCATGTGCCCCATATGCCAGAGTATATTCCCTTTTTGCAACCCTCTATCTATCTTTTCTATTCACTTGTGGGATGTGGACATCGCTGACTGGGCCAGCATTTATTGCCTGTCCCTAGTTGCCCTTGAGAAGGTGGTGGTGACGTGCCTTCTTGAATCACTGTTGTGTGTTGACCCACAATGCCATTAGGGAGGGAATTCCAGGATCTTTACCCAGCAACAGTGAAGGAACAGTGGTGTATTTCCAAGTCAGGGTGGTGAGTAGCTTGGTGGGGAACTTGAAGGTGGTTCCCACATATGTTTTATCTCTGAACCAGATTCCAACCCTGTATCACAACAGTTCGTTCAGTTTTAATTCATTTTTGCTATAACCACTTCTGTGGAACTTTTATCAATTGTCTTCTGGAAAGCACAGTGGTGAATCCTGAAAAAAATTTAACTTGATTAAACAGACAAAATGTATTCTTTACAAATCTATGGTGACTTTCATTGATCAACCTATAATTCTCCAAGTGCTCATTAACGCTGTCCCTGTTGACAGGTTTCAACAAATTTCCCATAACTATGTTTTGTTTTCTGACAGCTTTGTTGTTAATTGGTTTTGCTATCCCTCAGTTAAGTCAAATTGGTTTGCATAATTTGCAGTTGGAAACTGGTACATTTTCAGTTTCAGAATTACTGTTCTCCCCTTTGACTCAACACTGAAGAAATAATAGAAGTGATTCAGTTAACGTATCAGTAACAAAGTCTATAACAACTAAAGTGTCTAGCAGGTCAAAACTTGCAGCACAATGTGAAAGAGGATCGGTGAAAGGGAAGGAGAGTCTCGTCGAAAATAGAAATGAAACTGGGGAAAATAAACTCAGTGAAAATCAATAGTGACTCCAAAGTTAAACAAACCTTACATTAAAAAAGGATTGCCAACACTCCAGGATTGGTCTGGAGTCACCACAATTTGAAAATCATTTCCTGGGACATTGCTGTGTGCAGTCCTGGAAAAAAAAGATTGATTTTCTTTGTCATTTGCTTTGCCAGATGTGAACATGTTAAAAAACGTTGGGGGAGGAGTAAGAAAGGGCTGCTTGGTTAATAGTCAAGCATCTTTCAATCAGGCAGTGAGTCTTTTTGCTTTCCAATTGGTGTAGGAAG